CATCGCTCTGTCTAACGAGGAAATTACTAGGATGACATTTGATTTGCCACATTGTCCGACAGAAGGGACCATGCCACAAGCCTTTCACAAATATGCACGGATACAGCAGCTTCTTAAAAGGATTCCTCCCGTGGTTGCTTCTTCCACTCCTCATTCCGCTCCGGTCCGTAGACTTCCTCTTCAAGCAGTATCTCCTTCAAATTTTCAACGTCGTGCAGATTATGCTTCACCCTCCAATATGTCAACGCCGACTGTCAGTACTTCTGTTGTTGTTTCTGCTTTGCCGGCCGCTATAGCTACTCCGTCTCCTGTCAGTTGTGTTGTGCCCGCTTATACGACCTCAAGCGACCATCTGCATGTCCATACAGGATCATTGGAACAACCAAGTTCTTCTAATTTTAACATTACCGTGTACGACTCTGTTGAATCTATTGGTCCGAAAAAGACACTTGCACACCTCTCCTATCTTGACAGTTCTCACAGGGTGCAAGATATTGTGGAAGCAGCAACGGTATTGAATACGAGTATGAACACTTGGAGATGTGTGGATGCTGCGATTCATCTCGATTACAATCGGCAAAGACAGACTCGATTCGGAACTTTCGAGGAGTATCGTCGCAAAGTGTTGCAACGAGTTTCTGTTCGAGAGGTGTTGCAAAACTATCGTTCCAATGAAGAAAGTTGATTGGTCTTATAAGAGAGATAGGAAGACAAAGATGTTGATTGGGCGGTTGTCCGGGCGTTGCCTTAATGACAAATTCTTAGATGGCTCTCTTCGGTTTCAATTACGTAATTGCCCCTACAAAAGAGATGGGAAGGGAAAGACAAATAAATAAAGGGGGAAGGAGAGTGAGAGATAGAGATAGATACATAAAGAGAGAGAGAGAGAGAGAGAGAGAGAGAGAGAGAGAGAAAAAAAAAAAAAAAAAAAAAAAATTGGACGTAATATTTTTCCGCTTATTTAAATCAATATTGATTCCACTGCGCAATAATTGTGCCTTGATCATATTGCGGTCACTTGATTACTTAAATCAAACGAAAAACTTCATATCAAACTTTTTTTTTTTCTTACTCGTGTTCATTTTTTTTTTCTTTGCTCTTTCGTTGCTCCTCTCTCTCTCTCTCTCTCTCTTTTTTAATATATCTCTTTATCTCTCTCTCTCTCTCTCTCTCTCTCTCTCTCTCTGTCTATCCCAATCTTTTTTTTTTCCTTTTTTCTTTGTCTATCTCTATCTCTCCTTGCCCTTTCTTTTACTTTTTTTTTATTATATTATTTTTTTGATTCGTGAATTAAAATTGGACTTTGTTGCCAATTACTCTTATTTCTGCGGGTGTGGCCCGCACCGCCCGCACCGCGGATGCTTAGCTAGTCTAAGTTAAATCCTAACCCTGAAGTAGCATTGGCAGCGGGGGGAGGTCGATGTTCCGCTGCGCGCCGAAATCGGGTTGAAGTTTAGATGCGGGCCGGCGGATCAAGGCGATCGAGGGAGGGGGCGCGTGCAGAGCGGTGCGAGTACCGAATTGTTCACAGCGTGCACGAAGACAAGAGAGCGCGCCCACGGGGTCCAGCGGCGGCGGGCGTCGATGTGAGGGAATATCTCGAAGCGCCTGCCATCGGATAGCAAGAAAGTGTTGTTTTGTGGCCCCCCCCTTTCTGTAATTCTGTTTTTGGTCGGTTTTCTTTTTTTCCCCCTCCTTTTCTTTCTTATTTTCATCTTTGTTTTTGGTGGCTTCTTTTTTGTTTTTGACGTTTTCACGCGGGTGGCCACAAAACAAAAACGGGCGGGGGAAAAAAGAAAAGTTGGAGAACCCGCCCACATGCATACAAACACACACACATACTAATATATATATATCTTACTATTGGTATTTGAAGCTTGCTCATAGTGGTTGTGGTTGGGTCGGGGTTTGAACCCACACACAAATTTTGAAATAACCAATTGTCAGATGAGATAACCACTTAGGTGGACTGGGTCCCTGTCTGCTTTTGGGGAATGCTTTCTTTTGAAGTGTATCCGATGTCAGGCCGCTGAAACGTCAGGATGTGCCTATGTGTGTGAACCCTAACATTGCACAGTGTGGCAGACGACTCCAGTCCTGCAATTTTCAAACGCCAATTTTGGCGATTTTTCGTGCTCAAAGTAATTAATCAAAAGATCTGAAATTTTCAGATCTTGTAGATTAGTTTTCACTTTTTCTAGAAAACAAAATTAGGAAAAAACAAAAAGAAACATGAAATAAATGTCGTGCCGATTCGTTGTGTTTTCGTTTTTCACCGCCCTACGACGTGTGGGCCAACGGAGAAAGTACCCCAACTTCCGCGATTTTTAGCGCTGAGAAGAAAGACTCAAATCCGCTGAAAATTTAAGGGTCTGCAGGATTGGTCTTAACCTTTCCACAAAAAATGTTCAAAAAAAAGACAAACGTTTAGACCGCAAAATAAATGTCGCGCCAAATGGTCTGATTTCCCATTCTTGGCACTTTACCTTTTTTTTTTTTCTTTTTTTTTTTTTAACAAGTGCTCCACTCTATTCGTGGGGAGCAGCACGTGCTGGGAACCGGCCCCAGCGTCCCATAACGAATTGTACAGATCATTGAGAACATTTGAGATCGTTTGAGATCATTTGAGATAGCGGGGCCATTAAACCACCAGTACTTGGGCCATACATCGGCCGCTGGCCTTTAACGCGCCACAGACTTAGGGGGTTGGCCAAGGGAAGGGCCAGTCATTGCTGAATGGTCGGGCCCTGATTCATTCGGCATGTCACATTTAAAAAAAAACAAAGAAAGAAAAAAAAAATCAAATACACAAAAATGAAAAAAAAAATCCAAAGAAAAAAAACTAAATCACGAGGGAGGGAGGGAGGGAGGAAGGGATAGAGAGAGAGAGAGTGAGAGTGAGAGAGAGAGAGAGAGAGAGAGAAAGAGAGAGAGAGAGAGAGAGAGAAACAGAGAGAGAGCACTGAGCAACGGGAACGCATCCTCCCACAAAAGCGGAAACATTCATTCATGTTTTCGTTTTTCGAAACGGGAGAGAGATAGAGAGATATGGAGAGAGAGAGATTCAAGTAAGAAGGAAGATTTAACAAAGCATGGAGATTCACATGGACAAGCTTTCTCATTCAGCCAACACTCTATCCATTTTGCTCTCTCCATGCATACCCAAAAAAACTTCTTCCTTCCTTCGTACGTTCTGCCCCGACGTGTTTCGCTGTCGACGTACCTGACAGACTCATCAGGGGGCTAACTGTTAGAGGCCCAAGCGCTACACTGATGAGCTCACCCTCATCCTTCTTCGTTATATAATGTCTTTCGCTTCCCTCTCGGCCAGGATCCGATGTTTTTGCGTTCGTCTGTGGGAACTTCTACCTCCCTCCCCTCTTCCTATCCTACCCCGTCCCTCTTCCTACTTACGCTGGTCTTACCTCTTCTCTGGTATGTCTGAAGATTCTGATCCCTCCCTCGTCCACCCCTTGCGTCCTGATTCGTTGTGATCATACTTTTTCTTTGCCCTCCTTCTTCATGCGTCTCTTCCCGTTCTGCCTCTGCTTCTCCCACCATATCCCCACGTTCCGCCATCTCCTGCCCTTTTTCCGTTACCATAAACAGTTCCTGTTCATCCCCTGTGATGGACCGTTCTTCCCCACCCACCCGTTTCGATCGCTGAATCACCACTTTCTCTGCGCTCCTTCCTAAGTTAGACTGCCTTTCTCCTGGACAGCCTCTTCACCTTCCTCCTTCCTGTCCTTCTCGGCTACCCAACCCGCCTCCTTCAGCTTCGCTTGCGTACATTCCCTCCGTTTCGCCTCTCCGCTGTCCCGAATCGGACTCCCGCCATCTACTCTAATCAGCACCTATGTTGGAGATCTAAAGGCTTCCTCCTTTTTTTTTATATTCAAACTATGTCCCGCCGTAATACAGTACACCTGTACCCTGCGTAGAAAAAAGGGAAATACGACAAAATAAAAAAAAATACATAAAATAAAATAAAAAAAAAGAAAAGAAAGACCATATAAACTACCCTACTGCATACGCCTAAAACCCAGTATACCAAAATTTCCTCCTTTCCCCTTCCTGATCCCCCCTTTCCCTCTATTTCCCGTATTGTATACTTCCATTGGTAGCCTCTACCCTTCTCCTAGGTACCCCCCAAACTTCTGCAGTCCGGGGTACAAACCGGAGAGCGTAGCTCTCCAGTGACCCCCAAACAGTTTGGCAAATTTTGCCAAAGCCCCGAGAGAGACCTCCGGAGGAAACCCCCGGAGGCGCGCTTCAATCATCATGGCTGATATGGCTGCAACTGTAGCTTCATCCGATGTCGACAACCTGCTTGCTCTTAACATTCCTGCTACAAGAGTGGATCTCTTCGTTGATTTCTTGGAGAATGAGCAGAAGTCCTGCATTGAATGTACCTTTAACTTTCCTCCTTCGACAATGTTGTGCTGATTCCTCGTTTTCGGAAAGATATGTATCCTGACCGGCGCTCCATCGACAATTATCGTTGTTCCAAGGAACTCCATCGAGTTGTTCCCTCTGTCTTTCCTTACCAAGCTCAGACTCTCATCATAGCTGGACTCGAATTTTATGAATATCGACATTGCCTTCTGATGCGATCCTTCCCCTCGATCCAGCATCCCGACTACCACAACAATGTCGTCTATCATTCTCATCCCCCTCACCAATCTCCTATCCTGTCACAAAGAGTTCAGAAATCCTGCTTCGGCCCTTGCACACACCACGCATGCTAGGGATGGACTGGAGCTCCTCCCCATAGGGATCCCGAACACCTGCCTCAACATCTCCCCGGCACACATCACATACGCATTGCCGAGTTCAAATCTCACAGCGTTCATAATCTCATCAAATTCTATAAGTACATATCCTTCGCTTTTCCTCAGGTTCCGCGCCATCATACACATCTTCCCCCTCTGGCTCACTCTAACTCCTTTCAGATTCCTTTGTTTATGATACCCCACCAGCCACCTTATTGCTTCCGTCACGCTCTCGTGTGATAACCTCGCAAACATGTCTTTCACGTCGTAGCTCCTTGCACACGCAAACTCACATTCCCCATCCATTTCTCATTGGATCTTCTCACACTTCCCTCTCAATTCATCTGTCGCTCGCAGATCGAAGTGCTTCTCATCCCCGATTGCAAACATCATATGCCTCAATGCCCTCCCTAATCTTGCCCCTGCGAGCTTCGCTGGGTCACCGCTTGCTGGTGATATCGGTCTCCATCTATCCACGTCTTTGTCCTTTGGTAGTACGTACGCCCTCCCTACCCTCCCACCTTTCCCCCACGCCGCAATCTTCCCCAAACTTCCTCTCTCATAATTCGCCTTCATGTCGCCGATCACCTGTTCTTCCGTTCTCTGAACCGGCACAAAACTTGCATTCCAGTTGAATGTCATATTACATACATGTAGGTACAGTACCGGGCATAACACTAGAGTGCCTCCTGGGTTCCGATCTATGGGCACTGCCACCATTCCACCCACCATTCTCGCCCACTCTCTCACTTCCCTCCCACTCATCGCCTGACATTCCATCCCTGGTTGCTGTCGGTAACATCCCATCAGAACCTGATCTTGCACCTGTATCCTTCTCCCCTTTCCCCATGTTCCTACCGCTTCCTTGATACACTTCCTTAAAAAATCTACCGATACCTCGTCCCCACACGTCATATTTCTCGAATTTTTCACGAAATCAGGCACCCCAGGCACATAATCCAACCTTACTTTAACGTGTCCTTGTGCTTTTGCCCATGGCACCTCTCTACATGTGCAGAAAACCCTCCTTGCCCCTGCACAAAACCACTGGTTGTGAATTATCTGCCCTACGGTCAGACTCCTCTTGAACACCACTCGCGTCCGCTGGGCCACATACTTATCAATCTGCTTGTCCTGAACCAGCTGCTTGATGATCCCTTCCATTACCTCCCTCACCCTGCCTGCCTCTATCCTTCTTGAGAATGGTATCCTTACGATCGGCCTCCTCCTAATCTCCGTGCCGAATCTCATCCTTACCACCCGCGTTACCTTGTTCTTAAGTGAGTACCTGGTCGTCTTTCTTCCAAAGGTAGCAGCACATCTATATAGCGCTAGCAGCTCTGAAGAGCTCTTTCTCTACCATGCTCTTACCTTCTACGACTGCCTCAATACCTCCTTCAGAATGTTCCTTCCATGGTCCATGGCCGTTGAAGCTACTCTCACCCTTACCACTGTGCATCTTCCTCCACTCTCCAGAAATTGCTTGCAGTTTTTAATCTGGCACCTCCTGCCATTTACTTGTACAATGGTCTCCCCCACCTTACTTTTGACATTCCTCCACTTATCTAACCATTCCTCTCCTCCTGATGCTATGATCACTTGTGGCTTCTGTGGATGCCTGAGAATATCTATCAGTGGCGCGTTCCCGTTAAACAGAATCACCCTCCCTTGCTTTGCATACCCTCCTCGCTTCCCCCTCTCCCTTCTCCCTTTTCTCTTCTTCCTCCTCCCCATCCTTTCTGCCCTCCCATGTACATTTAGCGCAGGCGAATACCTCTTTATCAGTGCTTTTTCGATCGCTGCAGGCTCTCTTGCTCCTGTTATTACTGGTAGTATCAGGTATTTCCTCCACCCGAACACCTTCAGCCACATGTGCAGTTTCGGAGAGTTTCCCAGCTTCCTTGATCTTGCGAATTTCACGTGCTCCGACCATCTCAGAATGAAGCTTCTCGTTGTACAACCGATGTAGAAGTGCCTGCACCAAGGGCTCACTAAAACATATATCCCCGATCCCCGCGTGGACAGGTCTCCTTCCCCTTCCCCTATTATCCCAACCCATCTCCTTGCCCATGGTAGGCACCCGTTGATTACTACCAACACGAATGTCCTCGTGATCCTGTCTTCCTTCCCATACTCTAATTCACATCTTCTAGGGCCTCTGACTCTGCCCTCTTCCATCATTAGACCTTCAAGCTCCTCAAGATACTCCATATCTCCTACTTACCGTCCGGAGAGCGATGCGGCATTCCCTCCGATTCCCTCATACGCGAGCCTCGTCCTGCATCGAACCAACTCGTTAATCACTGTCTCCTTCCTAGTCCACTCCACTCCTTCCTCACCGCATATCTTCTTCAATTCTGGTGCCTTCTTCGCTGATAGCTCCTGGTGCATCTCCAAAGCAAATTTTAATACCTCCACCCCTCCCGCTCCACTATTCACTTCCCTTTTTCGTGTTGGAGGTGTGCGCTCTTCCGATGCATCATCCACATCTACCGACGTATTCTTATTCACTCTCATTTTCAGCGCTGACACCCTCCCATCTCCCTCCGTAATCCTTCGCTTCCCTTTCCTCTTCTCTATCGCATCGACCAACCTCCCCACTTCCTCCCTTACTTCATCGCTATCATCCTCCGATTCATCAAAATAGTTCCTCATTTCTCTCAGAACTCTCGCTTTTGTACGAGGTGACTTCTTTTTCACACCCTGCGATGTCGTCGCAACCGTCTGCTTCGTGTGCTGGCTCAACATCCTCATCAGCTTGCTTCCAGCTTTGCTTCCCTGACTTCTGCCTCCCTGATTCTATCTGCCTCCCTTCGATCCTCCTCGTCCCTCCTTCGTCTCTCCATCTCCTCCTTCTCCCTCCTTACCTCCTCCATTTTCTGCTTCTGTAACTTCTTCCTGAAGTAAGTCTTCATTTTGTTTGTTTCGTCATCTACCCCCTGCTGTACTGCCTGTTGTTGGACCAGCTGCGTCGGCCTGCCGTTCCCCGCTGCCCAGCAATTCCTTGCATAGTACCCTGCCTTCCCGCATAGATAGCACACTACCGTCCCCGACGGAATTCCTTGCTGCGTACCCCCATTATACGCTGCTGAAGGGATCTGGGGCATCCCCATCGGCTGCTGCTGCTCCGCCATCTCCCCTTCTCCTCCTCGTCTGTCTCCTTCTCCTCGCCCTTTTGTCCCTCACTAAACACCCTAGACTATGCAATCTCCCTAACGCTACTTCAAAGAGGTTGATTGCCTCTTCTCTCGAGTCTGAATCTCCGAACTGTAAAGCTACGAAAAATGTTGGTACCAATCTTTCCTCTACTATCTTTTGGAAGTCTAGCCACTGGCGTTCGAATTCTAAGTCCCTGAAGTTCCTAGTAGACATCCCCCCCGGAGTAAGTATCCCACGTGATCCGAACGTAAACACTCACCGACCAACCGGATCCCTTAACCCTTTCTTTTACACCTTGAATCACAAGATAACTTCCGAACAACAGCAAAGCCATGCAACTTAAATGTGCTACCTTTCTCCACATCTTTCTCACTTTCTTCTTTCCTTCGTATCTCCCCCGCCGACGATCACGCGGCAGTGTTTCACTAGTGCATCCGTACTCATCTCCTCCACATTCTACCTCCTTTCTTCACGATCGGTTGCCCAACCCATCCGTCTTCCCGGCGTATCCCTTGCGCTTCTCGACTCCGTTTATCCCCTTTCCCGCTCCTCTGATTAGTTCTCCGTTCTCTCTTATTACCGTGCACTCCCGGCACGCGAGAGATGGAAATGTGATCTTAATGAACGAGAGGCGGAATAGACGAGAGTCCTTAATTCGACAGAGAAACAATATAGCTCGAAACGAGAAACGAGAAAGAAGAGAGGAGAAAAGGAGGAGAAAAAGAGATGAGATTCCGAGATTATCGAGAAACATGAAAAGGAGGACGAGACACGGAGAATGAGATAACACACGCTATCGCCGTTTACTCTTCCCCACTCCAACTACTGCTCTTCTCTGTTCCCTCGAAGTGGACACGATCAACGAGGTACCCGACCATCAAAAGGCGAACTGTGATCATGAGAAGCATTAGATATGATACGAGATAGAAAACGAAATACCATATGACGATCAACACGAGACGAGAGAGGGGGAGGGAAGGAAGGAGAGGAAGGAAAGGAGATGAAAGGAGAGGAGAGGAAAGGAAAGGAGAGGAGAGGAGAGGAGAGGAGAGGAGAGGAGAGGAGAGGAGAGGGGAGGGGGGAGAGAGGGAGAGAGAGTAAAGGAGAGGAGAGGAGAGGAGAGGAGGAGAGGCGAAGAGAGGAGACGAGAGGAGAGGAGAGGAGAGGAGAGGAGAGGAGAGGAGAGGAGAGGAGATCGCTCCCAGAGCAAAGAGAGAAAAAACGACACCCCAAGATACGAGAAAGACGAGAGACGAGAGAGACGAGAGAAGAGAAGAGAAAAGAAAAGAAATGAGAAATGAGAGGGAGACTGGAGAGGGATACGAGATCGGAAAGCCAAAGTCACCAAGGGTTCCCACCGCCGACGTCCGCTCTTTTTTCTTTCGCCGAGACTAGGTAGAAACCGAGATACCACAGGACGATCAATGAGACTAGACGGGAGTGCTCCCAGAGCAACGAGAGAAACGATACACCTGAAGACGAGAGACGAGAGAGAGAGAGAGATAGAGAGAGAGAGAGAGAGAGAGAGAGAGAGAGAGAGAGAGAGAGAGGATATAGGAGAGAAACAAGAGAAACGAGAGAAACGCGAGAAACGAGAGAAAACGAGAGGGAGAGAAACGAGAGAGACAAAAAGGGAGAGAAAAACCAAAGTTACCGCCCAAACTTGATTGTTCCCGTTACTTCGACTTTCGCTTTTTTTCTTTTTCCGCCTTCCACCCACCCCGCCTTTTTCTCAACACACCATTCGCAGCGATCCTGATAAGCAATACGCCCGAACTGAAATCGAAAAGACGAGAGGCGAAAAACTAATCAAAGGACGAGCGACGAGAAGCGAAAGGATAGGAGAGACAAGAATGAGAGACGTGAGATACACCCGAGAGTCGCAAATGACCAGCAAAAGAGATGGAACGAAAACGCACATCACTTTCCACCCGGATGATGATCTGATTTGTCCGATCAACCTTACGATGCCACGCACCCTCCCTTGAGAAGAAGATTTGGCCCTTCTGCTCACCTCTGCTGAGGTATGCTGATCGCGAGTATCTTCTCCGCGTCTGTTCACCTCGCTGCTTCGCTACTCTCCCCGGTAGCTCCCGTTATTCTGATGTCTCGACTCCGATCCAAATGCGTTCACTATTTCTCTCTCCCCCCTGATCTGTCGCCGTTCTTCCCCCCTCCTCCGTCCTCTACACCCCACTTTCATGCCATCCTTCTCTCCGTTTCACCGTTTTCTCCGTAGCTACCAATCATACCTTGTCTTGAACTCACACGCGATGACGCACGATGACGGAGATGAGAAAAGCGAGAAAACGCTGACAGAGATGAGAAAAACGAGACAAAACGAGAGAGAAAAAAACGAGACAAATTGAAGGTGAAGAATACCCCCTGATACACAAGTCACGAAGTACTTCAGCCCGACTCCGAACTGAACTGAACTGAACTGAATTGCATGCTCCGCTCGTAGCCACCGACCTAGTATATAATACTCCGGTTACCACGTTATACGAGATTCAAGTAAGAAGGAAGATTCGACAAAGCATGGAGATTCACATGGACAAGCTTTCTCATTCAGCCAGCACTCTATCCATTCTGCTCTCTCCATGCATACCCAAAAAAGCTTCTTCCTTCCTTCGTACGTTCTGCCCTGACGCGTTGTCGACGTACCCGACAGACTCATCAGGGGGCTAACTGCTAGAGGCCCAAGCGCTACACTGATGAGCTCACCCTCATCCTTCTTCCTTATATAATGTTTCTCGCTTACCTCTCGTTTAGGATCCGGTGTTTTTGCGTTCGTCTGTGGGAACTTCTACCTCCCTCCCCTCTTCCTATCCTACCTCGTCCATCTTCCTACTTACGTTCGTCTTACCTCTTCTTTGGTATGTCTGAAGATTCTGATCCCTCCCTCGCCCACCCCTTGCATCCTGATTCGTTGTGATCATACTTTTTCTCTGCCCTCCTTCTTCATGCGTCTCTTCCCGTTCTGCCTCTGCGTCTCCCACCATATCCCCACGTTCCGCCATCTCCTGCTCTTTTTCCGTTACCATAAACAGTTCCTGTTCATCCCCTGTGATGGACCGTTCTTCCCCACCCACCCGTTTCGATCGCTGAATCACCACTTTCTCTGCGCTCCTTCCTAAGTTAGACTGCCTTTCTCCCGGACAGCCTCTTCCCCTTCCTCCTTCCTGTCCTTCTCGGCTACCCAACCCACCTCCTTCAGCTTCACTTGCGTACATTCCTCCCGTTTCGCCTCTCCGCTGTCCCGAATCGGACTCCCGCCATCTACTCTAATCAGCACCTATGTTGGAGATCTAAAGGCTTCCCTCCTTTTTTTTTTTTTGATTCAAACTATGTCCCGCCGTAATACAATACATTTGTACCCTGCGTAGAAAAAAGGGAAATATGACAAAATAAAGAAAAATACATAAAATAAAATAAAATAAAATAAAATAAAATAAAATAAAATAAAATAAATAAAATAAAAGAAAGACCAGATAAACTACCCTATTGCATTCGCCTAAAACCCGGTATACCAACATTTCCTCCTTTCCCCTTCTTGATCCCCCCTTTCCCTCTATTTCCCGTATTGTACACTTCCATTGTTAGCCTCTACCCTTCTCATAGGTGCCCCCCAAACTTCTGCAGTCCGGGGTACAAACCGGAGAGCGTAGCTCCCCAGTGACCCCTGGACAGTTTGGCAAATTTTGCCAAAGCCCCGAGAGAGAGAGAGAGAGAGAGAGAGAGAGAGAGAGAGAGAGAGAGAGAGAGAGAAAGAGAGAGAGAGAGAGAGAGAGAGGGAGGGAGAGGCAACGAGTATCAAAAAACGAAAACGGGAATGGATCTTCGAGCTTTCGCGTGAAGATACGTTCCCATTTTCGGCTTTTGAAACGTGCGTGCGGGCGCGTGAGAGAGGGAGAGAGAGAAAGGAGGCGAAGTTGCCGCGGCCCTCCGTGCAGGTCGACGTCTCTCTCTCTCTCTCTCTCTCTCTCTCTCTCTCTCTCTCTCTCTCTCTCTCTCTCTCTCTCTCTCTCTCT